GTCAACCACGGAAAATCGAAAAACATTATACGTAAAAACAAACCATACGTGACGTAAAACACGTGAAGATATACTAACTAATCCGATATACCAGTTGAGAAGTAGTAATTTAGAAGCTATTATAGAGTATCATCATCAATCTCATTGCGTCATGGTAATACTTTCCCTGACTGTCCCGAAGTCCCGAAGATCTTGCTAGTCTTTTTACTTTGGTCCTTGTCTGGTTTCTGGCCGGATGTGAATCAGTTCGAAATATCGATTCGTAAAAGTCGGCTGTAACTGGAGGAAGGGTTAACGAACGTGCCGCGACAAGACAAAATCGACACCGAAAAAACGTTTATGAAGGTCCTGCCGAAGGACGCGGTCGTGTTATAACATTCTTCGGCTGCATTCTTTCCAGCCCCTAAAAAAAAAAAAAAAAAGTCCCAATAGATGCGATCGAAATAAAGATACTAAACGCAGGCTATATATAACTTGAATGTAAGGTGCGCGGGATGCATAATGGATGGACATCAAAACGAAAGATACGTTACAACGTTTCTAGAAATGTAAGCCGACAAATGTAAAACTTCTTAGTCTTCCAACGACAAGTTATTTTTAAATCTTGCAATTTAGAATCGTATAAATTATTACGATATTGTCAATTTAAAATACAGACGTGTGAACATGTGACTTTTTCAAGTTACACGCCATTACTAATCGAATTGAAAGATTCTTCTGCGTGCAACGTGTTTTTTTTTAAACATACAATTCAGATGTAAACGTTCCCTTTTAACAAATGAGAGTAATGAAATTATAGATATCTACGCGAACAAAAAAAAAAAAAAAAAAAGTAATTGTAACTAGCAAAAAATTTGCATTCAGTTCAAAAAAATCCAAGACTATCTTCAAAGCGAGATGAGGCTTTCTTTCATTTGTAATATGCAAAAGAGCCTGAATTCGACTGAGCGTCGAAAGCTCCCTTGACTGCCGGTTCTAAAATCGTTGCGAAAGATCGTTGATCCTCGCGAGGAGCGACCTTCGCGAAGATACAAAAAAAAGGTCGTACCCGGACGTTCTCAAATTTTTGCTAAAGCCCGTCGTTCCCATGGTTTTTCTAAGTATCGGTTCCCTCGGTTGTTGATCGTCACAAAGACGCGTACACGAGAGAGAAGAGAGGCAGCGGAGAGGCAGCCGAATAGAAAGGAGAGGGAAAGATCGCGATGGCCTCGACGTGCCAGCTCCGCCTCGCAAGGCTCACAGCCACCAAGTGAAAGTAGGATTTTGCTTTCTACCCGTGGCCAGTGACAAGCGCGCCGTGCTCGCGAACGTCTGTTTTTTCCACTGTGAGGATGCGTCCGCTCGTCGTCGATCGGTAAATAAACAGCGCGACGCGAAACAACTCCGACGAATTTCAACGTCGTTACGATGACAGTGTTCTGCTGACGAAGTTGGGCGAACAGCCTCGAAATCCTGCCGACACGATAAAGTGCGCGGTGTGAACAAGTGCCAGAGGATGATGTCGAGACGCGAAACGAACGATACCCGACTCGTCGACGTGATCTCGACGTTTCTGATTCTGATCGGCTGCGTCTTCGTTTCAGCGAACAGTCAACAAGGTATATTTTTTCTCTTTCTTTTTTTTTTTTTTCTTTTTCTGAAAACACCCGCGCAAAAAGTACCCCTTTCGAAGCGACGAATTCGAGTGTGCGATTTTGATTGACGTTCCGACCGAAAGAGCGCGCTACCGAGATCTGCGCAATCCTTTCATGGATAAAGCACAGAGCAAATGCGAACGTCCTCGCGGACGTATGCATCGCGGTAGATTTATGGGATTCCAGGCTGTCCAGGTTGGATTTTTACTGCCCTGCGAAGGGCTACCTCGGATCGTTCGAAGCATATTGTTACCGGCTGATTTATAGATCAGACGACGGACACTTTGAAGTCTTTTGAAACCGGCACCATTGGAAGGTCCCGTTTCATTTTGACAGCGTAATACCAGTGGAATGTGTAGGCGGTATTTATGTAATCCTGAGTCGACGGTGTATGACTGTCACGATTCACTGGCTACGGTGAAGTCTTTCTCGCTTAATTCGTATTCCTTGTTGTTTCTACGGCCGACAAAATTCTCAGTCAGTCGTTCCCGTGAAATATCAATGCGTTGATGGGAATCGGGTAAAATTCTCACAAATTAAGATTATACTTCTACTATATATATAAGCTTTACTTGCTGCACAATAGTAGATGAATAGATACCGCAGTTATAGGGATGTTTGTGCAAATTTTCTAGAATCATAACTAAGGATAACGCAATACCTCGTGCAATCCGGCCTTAAACCTGCAGACAGGATGAACGGTGGATGACCGCTGTGCAATACTAGATAGTTTGAATTCGTGACCTGCTGCATTGCGATACAATACGCAATACAATAGATCCAAGCAATTCTATACGAGTGTTACGTGCAATCGTGTAGCAGGATAACGCAATTTGAACCTCCATTGTTGCCTATAATAACGGAACGTTTGAGTTGAACGATCATCGTGATCCCCTAAAACAGACATATCTAACTTAAAATTGTAGCGAATGACAAAATTGGCGATCATCGTTCGATTATCATGCATTGTGTAACATCGATAAAGAAGAGCGGTATGTAAAATCTGTAAATGCTTTATTCGTGCTTGATGCTAGAATTTATTATTTCGACAACAAATTAAAAAGTTAATGAGACTTGTAATAAAATTGTCCAATGTAAGATCCTAACACTTTAATCCCCTGACGTTGATAAAATCACGGATTGAATTAATCAAATCGAAAAGCAAGAGGTTTCGTTAATTTGCAATGCAGAGTATGTCCAACGAGGAAGAAATTGTTTACGTTTTCACCTTTTCGATGATGGAAAAAATGAGAAAAACAAATGTTAATTTGTTATTCAAATTGAAATTGTAAAAATAAATCACCGGTAGGATGCGTTCTGGTTGCAACGAATGGATTTCCCTCCCCCC